GAGCTCATGAAGGATGAGGGGCAGAGTCCCTTCTGGGCTTTAAGAGACTGACCTGATAGAATACAAGGAATATGGGCCATAACCATGCAAGTCAGTGTCTCCATCTCTTTGCTGAATTAACAGCATTTTGAACATCTGTCTACCAAGCTCAGGAAACAACTGGTCCTCATCCAGGAACTTACATGACAATACAGTAGCAGAGGGATGAGCAACAGCGGCTCACTTGGCTTTAGCTCATGGCCCTGGGCAGGATATGAGTCAAATTTGGGGAAAGTTGGGTGATGCTTAGAACCTTGGTCAAGGAACAGTGAGGGGCTGAGAACCTAATCCAAACAAGCAGGGCAGTCAACCTGAGAATGAAAGCATCTTGGAAGAGTCCCATCTTGATTTCTGGCCAAGGTGACTGGGCTGAGAATCACAGCGAGGCAGCATATGGGATGGGAGCACTGGCGCCCCAGCCCCTGGCCATGAGCGCAAGTACTCACTGAATTCAATCAGCAGCTTGCCGTAGCCCCGGCGCTGGTAGGGAGGCAGGGTCAGGATGCAGGCCACGTTGTAGTCTTCTGTCGATTCCTTTTCCTGAAAAGTGGCAGGTGAGTGTGAGGGGAGGGGCCTGGCCAGGGCAGAGCAGGGCTGAGGGAGAGGCAGGAGGAGCTCACCTTGGAGAAGTAGCCCACAATGTGGAAGCCCTTGCAGTCGTACTCCGTCATGACGTAGAAGAGGAAAGGGTCTGTGTCGTAGTACAAGGTCTTGTGGTCGAGGAAGCACTTGGCCAGAAGACACAGGTTCTGGGAATAACTCTGCAAAGGAAACGGCCTGTCACCGCTCGGTGCCCTGATCCCAGCATGGCCATGGGACAGGGTCAACCAGGAGCTTCTCTGTAGCCCAGGCTGATAGGGGAAAAGCGTTCCTCCCTGAGACCCGACTGATTCCATCGGGCAGGGCCACTGTGCGGTGTGGAGAAGCCCATGGACCAGCCCATTGGCCCTGGGGGACCTCCACTGCCCTCCCCTATAGTTAACGACAGTCAACAAACCGACATGTACCAAGAAGACTGACGAGGCTTATGAGAGCAGCTCTGCCCATGTGACAGTCTTAGGAGTCTGGCTGTCAAAAAATACAATTCTTTTGCCTACAGTCACACCTCTTGGGAACTGACCTGATTGTCTACAACTGAGGTAAGGCATTCTGGAACTTACAAAAGTAGCCTTAGGAGCCCCCTGCCCAAAAAACTTATTAATTTTGCTATTTTACCTCTGCACATAATTTATCCTGCATTTCAGACATGACTTTTTAACTACCTGCTGGGCACTGCCGCCTGGATGCCAAGACCACCCTGAATACAGAACAGTAGTTAAAGCAGCTCCCCCAGCACCCAAGCTAGAGCTCTCCCCTGCTAGTCAAGGTGCCTGCCTCTCCCTCTCCCTCACCACATTCTAGGCCCCAGGAATGGGGGAGTCTCTCAACGGTCCCTTCAGGTTACTCCTCCCCACAACCACAGGCTAAAGCAGGCTTGAAGCTTCAAACTTACGGTGTCCCCAACTCTCCCCAACTGGCCTCATTCCCACCTCCTGAGCTCTGTCCCTTCTAACAGCTTTCCCTCATCCTCTCTGCCCTTCAACACCTACTATCACTATACAGCCACGCCTGCCCTTCAGAACCCCACTGCTTGCGAGTCCCTTACCCACCTTGTCCTTCATGCCAAGGCTCAAAAGTCACCTCTTCTGTGAAGCTTCGGTGACTACCTCCTCTGGGTCCTAATAACCCACCCTTTGCTTCAGGATACTTAACACACTGGGAGATCTAAAGTGGTCATGGGGCCTGGCTGGTTTGGCTCAGTGGATAGAGCGTCGGCCTGCAGACTGAAAGGTCCCAGGTTCGATTCCGGTCAAGGGCATGTACCTGGGTTGCAGGTACATCCCTAGTAGGGGGTGTGCAGGAGGCAGCTGGTCGATGTTTCTCTCTCATCGATGTTTCTAACTCTCTATCTCTCTCCCTTCCTCTCTGTAAAAAATCAATAAAAATATATTTAAAGTGGTCATGGGGCCTGGCTGGTTTGGCTCAGTGGATAGAGCGTCGGCCTGGAGACCGAAGGGTTCCGGGTTCGATTCCGGTCAAGGGCACGTACCTCGGTTGCAGGGCTCCGCCCTGACCCAGGCCCCAGTCGGCATGCAGTGCAGGAGGCAACCAATCGATGTGTTTCTCTCACATGACATTCTCTGTCTTTCCCTCTCTCTAAAAATCAATGGAAAAAATGTTATTCGGATGAGGATTAAAAAAAAAAAGTGGCAATTGGTGTGTCTGTTTTCTCCATGGACTGTGAGCTCTCAGCAGCGATTTTTGTCTAATTCCTGGTCATGTTTTTATCTCCCAGCACCTGCCCTTCAGCAGGAACTCAATAAAAATGGGGTGAGCCAACTTGTTGGCCAGACTGGTGTTTTCCTAAGGAAGAAGCTTCTCCTTTGACTTCCCCCAGACTCCAAGTTCCAAGGACTCCGCACTGTGCCTCAGTCACTGACCTTATTCTTCCGTCCATCAATCTCAAAGAAGGAGATGGTGCCTTTGCGGTAAATCTCGTTGCCTGGAGGATGTCGCAGGTCACACTTGGTCTGAGGAAGAGAGGAGGATCAGGGGAGGCGAAGGATGGGGTGGTAGTAGGGCAGTACCTGGGACCCTTCATACCAAGTGACGCTGCAGACACTTGAGGCTACGGCCATACTTGAGGCAGAACTCGCAGAGATAGAGGACTGGCAGTGTGGTGAGCTCCTGTGGGTACGGGGAAAAGTACCACGGCTTGAGGCGGTGCCGGCCCAGCTCGATGCACTCAATGTTCTTCATCCGGGTGACGATGTCGTCGTGGCTCCGGTCAGACACCAGGCTCCCAGTCATGCGCGGAGCTGATGGTATTCCATCTGAGCTGTCCTGGGAGTCCTGCCCAGGGCCAGTGAAAGGCACTGGGTTACAGGAGACTACAGCTCACACAGCGCTGCCCGCCCCCCCAGGTTCTCTTGTTCAAGCCTAACAGCAACCCTGTGGGGGAGGTATATAACCCCCACCCTCCAGATAAAGAAACCAAGATTTAGAAAGTTTTCATTGAAAACTATGGAAAGATTGCCAACCAGTTCGGCTTAGCTCCTAATAGCACCACCATGGCTGCCCACCACTGTTGTTTATTTTTAAACTAGCCTCTAAACTCTCCACCTGCCTGTGTCCCTTCCTTTTTACTCAGCTTCCCTCGTCCCGAGACCTACCTCATCAGTGCCCAAGCAATTTGATTTTCGCTTCCGTCCCGGCTGAGCTGCCACTGCCCTGCGGGCTGATCCATTCTGTAGATGAGATGACAGGAATAGAAGTGGCTGTGAGATGCGTTTGAAAGGGGCTACCAGAAGGTAGAAGAAAGGAAGGAGAGAAAAAGTGGTTTGGAGGACTCACCTGAGGAAAAACTGAGGCTGGGGCTGTCTCACTGGGCACTGGAGTTGCTGGTGAAACCACCTCCACCTTCCGTTTCTGCAGAGAGAAACCAAGAAAGGTGGGTCAGAAGGTAGAGAAGGTGGGACCTAAGAGGAAAGCAAGGTCCCTGGAATTGCTGAGGGTACCGTTGAGCGGTGGTTGGGCTGCAGACAGGAGCTGGAGGAGAGCGGCTGGTCGGGCTCACCACCGGGAATGGCCTCCCGCTCCTTAGGCAGGTTGAAGCGGAGTGTGATCTGGACCGGGATTGGCAAGGTCTTCCCGCTGGCCTGCGCGGAGGCCGGCTGTAGAGATAGGTCCAGGGTCTTCCTCTGGGGTGGGGATGGTGGTGGGATGGGGCAGGGGAGTGGGGGGCCCCTCAGCATGGAGTCATCAAACCCCACCCTCTCAAGGACACAGGAAGAGCCGCTGGACTCTGGAAGCTACATCTGCGATTTGGTCCCCATCCTCTGCAAGCCGAAACCAGGATGGGAGGGTGCTGCCTCCAGCCCATCCAGGAACCACTGAAGCCAAGAGATGAGAGAAGTAGGAGGCAGGAGAGAAGAGGTGAAGTAGGGGACCTACTCACCACCTCTCTCTCTGGAGAGCCAGGGCGGGACCCAGGAAGTCCGTTCTTGGTGGGGGTCTTGGCCTCTTTCTTAGGGAACTGAATCTTCTTCCGGTCCAGCCGTTCGTGGGTCACCCATTCATCCAGGCGTTTGTTGACTGCAGCAGTGGGGATGGCTCAGGAAGGAATGCCAGAGACCATCCCCCAACTCTACCCAGCGGCCCCTCCTTACCCCAGTCCGGCACTCACAGTCAATGTAATGAACGTAGAAATGTTTCCTGCCACTGATGTCCTTCACGCTCAGGATCTCGGCCAGGGCTGGGGAACAGCATAGGGGCCATGGAAGGGTCAGGCCGGAGGCGCCACCCTTCTACGACCTGAACTACACTCCCAAGCCCGATCTCTAAGCCCCAGCACTAGGCAGCTCTCGCCCAAGCCCCTGGTCACCCAGTGCCACCCCCTGCAAGCCCCGCCCTACCCATCGCGGAGCCGCTACAAGCCACGCCCCTCCTGTGTATCTGCGCCCCGCCCGCCCCAGAATTCCCGAGGTCCCTCCTCCTCCCGAGGGTTCGGTTGACTCCCTCCCGCCCCTCGCCCTCAGGTCGCTTAGCCCCGCCCCCCGACGTCACTCACGCCACTCATCTTCGTTGTCCTGGTTCCGCCGCAGCACCGGCAGGCGGCAGCCTTCGGTTATCTCCTCCTGGGGAGACAGCGCGGCGCCAGGGTCGGCTACTGGGGGTCCTCGGGCTCTACCCACCTCCCCTGGCTCCCTCCGCCCCGCCCCGGGCACCGGACTCACCACCTCCGCCATCTTCCCTCCCTCCACTGCCACTTCCGGCCCCTCTGGGAGACGTCACTTCCGGGGCCAAGCGCGTTCTAGGCCCGGGCTTCCCGGTGCCACTCCAGAGCAGGACCTTTGAAAGACCCCACTGCCCCGCTGGGAGCGGGAGGACGGCCCGTTTGGCTGGCAGGAGAATCGGGTGTTTTAAATCTCGGGCCGGGTCCTGGGTGGAATCTCCACAACATGCACAACGATTGGAGGAAAGCTGAGTCCGTCACGTGACGCTCACCGGGTGCGACGCCAGTCACGTGGGCGCAGCGCGGGTCACTTGGTACTAGTGTTTGTGCTTTGGGGGTGGCGGGCCTCCGCGTCTCCTAGTGGCTGTGGGGGGTGTCGATGGCGGGGAGAGGGCAGGTCCGGAAGGTTTGGGAGGCTGGAGAATTGGGTGGGACTGTGAAGGGACTTCATTCCTTACTTATGGGGACTCACAGTATTTCTAGGTTGTCTTGGACGTTAAGTTTGTAGTTATAAGAACAATACAACATTATTCATTCAGACCATGTGTCAGGTACTGTTCCTGGAGTGTGGACTACATCCTATATAATAAAAGGCTAATATGCAAATCGACTAAACAGCTGGAATGACCAGTCGCTATGATGCACTCTGACCACCAGGGGGCAGACACTTGAGCAGGAGCTGTCCCCTGGTGGTCAGCGTGCTCCCATAGGGGGAGTGCCACTCAGCCAGAAGCTGGGCTCACAGCTGACGAGTGCAGCAGTGGTGGCAGCACTAAGGACCCCTTGGGGGATGTCTGTCTGCTGGCTTAGGCCTGCTCCCAGGGTTTAAGCCGGCAGGCGGACATCCCCCGAGGGGTCCTGAACTGTGACAGGGTGCAGGGCCGGCTGAGGGGACCCCCCTCCTCCCCAGTGCACGAATGTCGTGCACTGGGCCTCTAGTCACTAAATAAAGAACCTTGCCCTCATAGAGCTTACATTCTTGAAGGTTGGGAGGAAAAAAGTGTGTATGTAACAAACAGTAAATATGTTATAAAGTAAATTATTCAGTATATTAAAGACAGGTAAGTGTTTGGGGAAACCAAAAAGAATGCACAAGGGAAAGGAGATGGGCAGGTAGGTTGCAATTTTAAGTAGGGTGGTCAGGGAAGGCCTGGCTGGAAGTATACCACTTGAGAAAAGATTTAGAGCAGGGGTGGGGAACCTCTTTTCTGCCAAGGGCCATTTGGATTTTTATAACATCATTCGAGGGCCATACAAAATTATCAACTTTATTTGGCCAATATTCTGCCTACAGAAACACAGTTCAGACTGAAAGATGCACACAGGTTAAAAGTAAAGGGATGGAGCCCTGGCCAGTTTCCTTAGTGGTTGGAGCAGGGGTGGGCAAACTTTTTGACTCGAGGGCCACAATGGGTTCTTAAACTGGACCGGAGGGCCGGAACAAAAGCATGGATGGAGTGTTTGTGTGAACTAATATAAATTCAAAGTAAACATCATTACATAAAAGGGTACGGTCTTTTTTTTTTTTTTTTTTTTAGTTTTATTCATTTCAAACGGGCCGGATCCGGCCCGCAGGCCGTAGTTTGCCCACGGCTGGGTTAGAGTATCGTCCTGCAGATTGAAGGGTTGCAGGCTCAATTCCCAGTCAAGGTCATGCACCTCATTTGCAGTTTCCCCAGCCCCAGTAGGGGCACATGCTGGAGGTAGCCAATGGATGTATCTCTCTCACATCGATGTTTCTCTCTCTCTTTCGCCCTCCTCCCTCCCTTCCACCCTCTAGAAACCAATGGGAAAAATATCCTTGGGTGAGGATTAAAAAAAAAAAAAGTAAAGGGATGGAAAAAGATATTTCGTGCAAATGAAATTGAAAAAAAAAAGCTGGGGTAGCAATACTTATATCAGACAAAATATAGACTTTAAAACAAAGGCTTAACAGACAAAAAAGAACTTAGGAATTCCACTTCTGAGTACTTATCCAAAGAAACCCAAAACACTAATTGAAAAGACATGCTAGCCCTGGCTGGGTAGCTCTTTCTCTTTTGATTAGAGTGTTGTTCTGATCTGCCAAGGTTGGGGGTTCGATCTCTGGCCAGGGTACATACAAGAAGCAACCAATGACCCTGACCAGTTTGGCTCAGTGGATAGAGAGTCGGCCTGCAGACTGAAAGGTCCCAGGTTCGATTCCGGTCAAGGGCATGTACCTTAGTTGCGGGTACATCCCCAGTAGGAGGTGTGCAGGAAGCAGCTGATCGATGTTTCTGGCTCTCTGTCTCTCTCCCTTCCTCTATGTAAAAAATCAATAAAATATATTTTTTTAAAAAGCAACCAATGAATGCATAAATAAATGGAATAGCAAATGGATGTTTCTCATCAATAAGTAAATAAGCGAAAGTAAAGACATGCAGCTTTGTGTTCGTTGCAGCATTGTTTACAATGGCCAAGATAGGGAGGCGACCTAAGTGTCCATTGACAGACGAGTGGATAAAAGAAGAGGTGGTGCCAGCCTTGCCGGGTTGCTCAGTTGGTTGAGCATTGTCCTGTACGCCAAAAAGGTTGCGGGCTTGATTCCCAGTCAGGTCACATACCTAGGTCTCGGGTTTGATTCCTGGTCAGGGCACACATGAGAGGTAGCCGATCGATGTTTCTCTCTCTCTCTCTCTCTCAAAATCAATAAAACATCTTTTAAAAAAATAATAAGAGAGCCCCAATCAGAGAAAAGTGGCTCACAGAGAAAAAAGCCAGGGCCCACCCTTCTACATTAGCTCCAGGATTTTGGCTTGAAGGGTGTTGCTAAGTGTTTGCTCAGGGAAATAGGCCTCTGTCAGGCTGAGCAACTTACCTCAAAGTGTCATCTGCCTTCCATTCTACATATTGCCAGCACAGAGGCCCTCAACCGTTCCACCACTTTCAGAAGAAGCTTATGTGCTGAAGCAAAGGAGAAATGCTGATTGTTGTATCACAGAGACAATAATGGTGACACCTACAGATGATGCCTGTGCAGGTCGGACACAATGTTCAGCACATGGTGAGTACCCCCAAATCAATAGGTCTTTACCACAAACAAGGTGGTTAAGTGTTTTCAATAAGCCGATCGTGCCTGCTGTTGCAAAAATGACTCAAGAAGAAATAGAAACAGAATAGTCCTATGTGTATTAAAGAAATTTAATTCATAAATTAAAACCTAACCAAAAAATGCCTGGCTGGCATGGCTCAGTGGTTGAGTGTCGACCTATGAACCAGGAGGTCACGGTTCAATTCCTGGTCAGGGCACATGATTGATCCCCAGTAGGGGGCATGCAGGAGGCAGCTGATGCACGATTCTCTCTCATTATGGATGTTTCTATCTCTCCCTCTACCTTCCTCTCTGAAGTAAATAAAAAAATATATATTTGTTAAAAACCTACCCACAAAGGAACTTCCAGGTGGTTCACTAGTGAATTCTATCAAAGTTAAGGAAGAAATAATACTGATCATACATACATTTTTTTAGAAAACAGAAGAGGGGACACTTCCCAACTCGCTTTATAAGGCCAGCATTACCCTGACACCAAAATCAGACCTATCACAAGGAAAGACTTCACAGATCAATATTCCATATGAACACAGATACAAAATTCTTTAATGAAAGATTATCAAGTAATTCCTCCTCTTCACTGCACTTATCTCTACCTGATATATTACACACTCATGTGTCTACATATTACCTTTATCTTCCAAGTAGAATATAAGTTCCCTGGGTGCAAGGACTTGTTTTGTTCATGACTATCCTCTGCACACCACCATCCAGCATCTAGAACAGTGCTTGCCCAATGTTAGATGCTCAATAAATACTTGTTGAGTGATGAAGTGAGAGATGGACCGCCTGTTGATTTCAGGAGACACATTGCTGCCCTTGTGAGCCCACCTACAGACAAAGATAATAGGACACATTTAAAAAATATCAAAATGAGGATTGCAGCCCTGCCCCACCCTCATACTATTCTAGTTTTAAATGCAGGTATATGTATGCCATTAATTTGTTAATAAAGCTTTAACTTCTATTTTGTTAAAACATATATAATACTTACCCTTTTAACAACTTATAAGTATACAATTCGGTGGCATTCAGAATACTCCCAATGTTATGTAAGCAAAACCACAACCCATCTCCAGAATCTTTTTCATCATCCCATAAACTCTACCCATTAAACACATTTCCCATTCCCTGCTCCCTAACTCCTTGGTAATCTCTACTCTACTTTTTGTCTCTATGAACTGGCCTATTCTGGGTACCCCATCTAAGTGGAAACATATAATATTAGTCCTTTTGTTATGGCTTATGTCACTTAGCATAATGTTGACCTTAAACAGCCATTTATTTTACCAGCACAAATGGGTTTACTAGGGAAGTGCCAAGAATCGTAATTCAGGACAAGCAAGCTATAGCAAGAGCCATAGGCAAATTGACAGACAAAAGAGAGGAACATTGTTTTATGGAGAGAAGAAAAGAGGAAGTCGGGAGTTGTTTTGAACAAAAGTCCATTGGAGAACGGCAAGAAGAGTTCAGGGAAATGAAAGTTTCTCATTAGCTGAGTTGCAGGCGTGGTGGATTTCTTGTAGGAGATGCAATGTAAATCTTTTCTGTTGGGGCCTGTAATTGATCATTCTTTCCTGTTGACAATTCTTTTGGGGTCTGTAATTGACAATTATTGTAGTTAGCATCAGTGGTACTGAGAGCTCCCCCTATTGGCCTTCTGACTCCTTTTTAGTGACGTTTCCCTTTATTTTCACAATGTCTTCAAGGTTCATCCACCATATAGCGAGTGTCAAAAACACATTCATTTTTTATGATTGAATAAAATTGCATTATATGAATAGACTACATTTTGTTTATTCACTCACCTGTTGATAGGCATTTGACTTGTTTCCACCTTTGGGGTATTGGGAATAACACTACTATGAACATTGGTGTACACATCTGTTTGAGTCCCTGTTTTCAGTTCTTTGGGCTATATACCTAGAAATGGAATAGCTTGGTTATATGGTAGTGCTATGTTTAACTTTTTGAGGACTCACCAAATTGTTTTCCACATTTTACATTCTACCAGTAATGCACAAGGGTTCCAATTTCTCCACATCCTCACCAACACATTAATTTTTTTAAATTAAGGACTGAACTTTAATAATTATTCAGATTATATCAAGTTTGGTTACTCCATGGCCACAGTTAATAATTACAAATTCGCCCTGATCGGTTTGGCTCAGTGGATAGAGCGTCGGCCTACGGACTCAAGGGTCTCAGGTTCGATTCCGGTCAAGGGCATGTACCTTGGTTGCGGGCACATCCCCAGTAGGGGGTGTGCAGGGGGCAGCTGATCGATGTTTCTCTCTCACTGATGTTTCTAACTTCCTATCCCTTTCCCTTCCTCTCTGTAAAAAAATCAATAAAATATATATAAAAAAAAAAAAAAAGAAAAAAAAATAATTACAAATTCTAGAAATTTGATTTAAATATGTAGTTTTCCTTCCTTTTCCCCTTTTTTTTGCCCCCCCCTTTTTTTTCTTACTGTTTCTAGCCCTGGCCAGGTAGCTCAGTTTGTTAGAGCATCGTTCTGATACACCAAGGTTGTGGCTTTGATCCTCAGTCAAAGCACATACAAGAATCAACCAATGAATGTATGAATAAGTGGAACAACAAATCACTGTTTTTCTCTCTCTAAAAATCAATCAATAAATAAAAATATGTACTGTCTCTAAGCAGTCTTTCTTATTTTAAGAATGAGATTCAATTTTATAGATTCAAAAAAGAATCTTAATCAAAATCTCATTAGTCTGGCCTGCGTGGCTTAGTGGTTGAGTGTCGACCTATGAACCAGGACATCACGGTTCGATTCCTGGTCAGGGCACATGTCTGGGTTGCGGGCTCAGTCCCCAGTAGGGGGCATGCAGGAGGCAACTGATCAGTGATTCTCATCATTCATGTTTCTCTTTCTCCCTCGCCCTTCCTCTCTGAAATCAATAAAAAAATATATTTTTTAAAAGTGCAAAATAAATACAAATCTATTCTTAGAAAGATATCATTAGCTAGATGAAAAGGTGAACCACAAACTGAAAGAAACTATTTGCAATACAGGTGTTGCAAATTGGAGACTGGTGTCCAGATGTATGAAGGACTCTAAAAACTCAATAACAGAACAAAACAGCAAAAACTGGCAACTTCACAATAGATGACATATGAAGCCAGACACAAAAGAGTACATACTGTATGATTCCATTTTTATGAAATTCTAGGTAAGACAAATTGAATTAATAGTATCAGAAAACAGATCACTGATCGCGTGGGGCATGGGATGGTGTGGGGATTGGCTGGGAAGAGGCACAGGGAGCATTTGGGGTGGTGGAAATGTTCCATATCGCGATTTCGGCGATAGATACATGGATGTCAACATTGTGAAATTCATTGAACTGTACACTCAAAACATATGCAACTATTGTATACAAATATGCCTTAGTAACATGGATTTTTAAAAACAAGTGAAAATACCTGCCCTCCACTTATGTGCTGATTCCTTTAGTGAGTCTTCACTTCTCAATTCTCTCATCTGTAAAATGGGAAGAATAGTGTCTCACGAGGTTGTTTTGAGATTTAAATGAGATTCGTTCACATGAAGGGTCCTGTTGTGAGCACTCCACAAAGGCGAAATACTACTGTTGGGGGAGGGGCATCTGGTCCCTCCTGGCACCCAGGGAAAGTCCGCGTGGTCCCTTCAATTGCATCTTGTGCCTCCCCATCCTGACGGCAGAGCCACTCCAGGTCTACCAGCTCTTTTTTTTTTTTCCCAATATATTTTATTGATTTTTTTACAGAGAAGAAGAGAGAGGGATAGTGAGTTAGAAACATAGATCAGCTGCCTCCTGCATCAGCTGCCTCCTGCACACTCCTCACTGGGGATGTGCCCGCAACCAAGGTACATGCCCTTGACTGGAATCTAACCTGGGACCCTTCAGTCCGCAGTCTGACGCTCTATCCACTGAGCCAAACCAGCTAGGGGTGGTAGTTGTTTTTTTATAATCACACATTCGCTCTGATCGGTTTGGCTCAGTGGATAGAGCGTCGGCCTGCGGACTCAAGGGTCCCAGGTTCGATTCCGGTCAAGGGCATGTACCTTGGTTGCGGGCACATCCCCAGTGAGGAGTGTGCAGGAGGCAGCTGATCGATGTTTCTCTCTCATCAATGTTTCTAACTCTCTATCCCTCTCCCTTGCTCTCTGTAAAAAATCAATAAAACATATTTTAAAAAATAAAATAAAATAAAATAAAATGCCACTTCAAGGCCTTGGCACTGGTTGCTTTCTTCCCCTCCCCCAACTCCCCTAACCACCCCCCTTTGGCAAACATCAGCTTGTTCTCTATATCTATGGGTCTCTTTCTGTTTTGTTTATTCTTTTTTTTTTACTTTATTTTTTAATATTTTTATTGATTTCAGAGAGGAAGGGAGAGGGTGAGAGAGAGAGAAATTTCAATGATGAGAGAGAATCACTGATTGGCTGCCTCCTGCACTGCCCCTACTGGGGATCGAGTCTGCAACCCAGGCATGTGCCCTTGATCAGAACTGAACTTGGGACCCTTCAGTTTGCATGTGACACTCTATCCACTGAGCCAAACCAGCTAGAGCTGTTTTGTTTTTTTAGATTCCACTTCTAAAGTGAAATCATATGGTACTTGTGTTTGTCTGACTTATCTCACTTAGCATAATACCCTCTAGATCTATCCATGTTGTTGCAAATGACAAGATTTCATTCTTTTTTATTGCCACATAATATTCCATTATGAAGACACACCATATCTTCTTTATCCATTCATCTATCAATAGACACCTAGTTTTTGCTTCCATGTGTTGGCTATTATAAGTAATGCTCCAGTGAACACAGGAATGCATATATCTTTTCAAATTAGTATGTTTTTTTCCTTCTACCAGCTCTTGATGCTAAATCACTCAACTCTTGGTGGCTAGGGGAGCCTTCTTCTGTGCCCTGATTCCTCCCAAAGCCCAGGGACTCTGCGAAGCTCCTCACACCGACTCCCAGGCTCCCACTTGGGCATTTGGATATACCCTTGACCTGGTTCCAGCCCAGAAACACAGCCCAGGCATCAGGGCAGTCAGCAAGCCCACCTCCCTGCGTTCTCTTTTCATTTCTACACTTCAGCTGGGGTGGAGGCCAGTAGGGACTGAGACACAAGCTCTTCCTGGGAACACCCTAACCCAGTGGTCGGCAAACTGCGGCTCTCGAGCCACATGCGGCTCTTTGGCTCCTTGAGTGTGGCTCTTCCTAAGCCTTAGGAGTACCCTAATTAAGTTAATAACAATGTACCTACCTATATAGTTTAAGTTTAAAAAATTTGGCTCTCAAAAGAAATTTCAATCGTTGTACTGTTGATATTTGGCTCTGTTGACTAATGAGTTTGCCGACCACTGCCCTAACCTCTCCACTCCTTTCTGAAACTTCTGCTGTCCTCTCTTTTCCTCTCCTCATCTTTTCATTATTCCCCTTGGTGGAGAGTGGTAAGTTGATCAGTTCAGTATCCGAGCATTCATTCTTCCAAATCTATTGTTTATGACACTGAAACCAGTGACTTCTTTTGTTCCACTGTGTCCTGAGTCAGTGACTAAAGAGGGAGTGTCTCAGGGTACAAGGAAGTGTGTGTGTGTGTGTGTGTGTGACCTGTGATACTATCTCAAAATGTTCTCCCGTTCCAAAGATCTGTCTGTCAGGTTGAGGAGGTGCAGCGGAAGGGAGGGAGTCTAAGGAAACAGCACTGACTCCTGGTCTTGGGTCATGCCTGGACTGAAGATAGAGGAGGGACTGAGATATGTGTGTCTGGGGGCACAGTGAGAGTACGCCAGCAAGCTTTGGGCTGGAGAAGGGTGACTTTAGGCAGAAGTGCCCATAGGCCCTGACTAAGGGAGGGCAGAAGCAGATGCAGGACTTAGTTGGTGAGAGTGGGGAGTGGGAATAGGAGCGTCTGGCCTTTGGGAGAGGGCAGGAGGCCAGTAGAATGAACGTGTCTTACTTCCTGCTTGTTTGGTGTATGGCAGCCGGGAAACGGGATTTTCTTTTCCTTTTCTGGCAGGATTTGGACAGAGTGAAGCTCTAGGATTCCCAGGACCTGTGACCACTCAGAGCCCCAGGAACAAGCCAGGGTATGTCTTGTGGGGTCATCACAGGCAGCCCCATGGCCCTGCTCTTTGTGTGACTACCTCATCTGGGACCACATTTCCAAAGGGTGTTGAATCTGGAAATCTGGAATGATCCACAGAGGCTAGAAGGGGACAGGGTGTGTGTGTGTATGTGTGTCACTGTCGCCATGGAGCTTATGTCTGTCTCCTTTTAAAACATCAACTCCAGCCCTGGCCGGGTTTGGCTCAGTGGATAGAGCATCGGCCTGCGGACTGAAGGGTCCCAGGTTCGATTCCAGTCAAGGGCATGTACCTTGGTTGTGGGCACATACCCAGTGGGGAGTGTGCAGGAGGCAGCTGATCGATGTTTCTCTCTCATCGATGTTTCTAACTCTCTATCCCTCTCCCTTCCTCTCTGTAAAAAATCAATAAAATATATTTTAAAAAAACAAAACAAAAAAAAACATCAACTCCAGCCCTAGCTGGATTGGCTCAGTGGTTAGAGCATCGGCCTGTGGATTGAAGGGTCCCAGATTCAATTCTGGTCCAAGGGCACATGCCCTGGGGCTCAATCCCCAATAGGGGGCGTGCAGGGAGACGTCCGATCAATGATTCTCTCTCATCATTGATGTTTCTATCTCCCCTCTCCCCTTCCTCTCTGGAATTTAATTAAAATATATTTTAAAAAATAAAATAAACATCAACCCACCAGGGCTACGACTTTGTCTTGTTCACGGCTCTGTCCCAGGCACATGTAGGCACACAGCCAGTATCTGGTGAAGGAGTGATTCAGGAGCTGAGGGACTCCCTAGCGTGGGGAGCAGCCTTATGTCTTCTCTAAGGCCCATAGGGCAGAAGGCTGACCATACAGGGAAGTCAAAGGGAGACAGATTTTGACCCTCCACCAGAAAGGACCATGAGAAACCAGAGCTTCTGGGAGCATTCTGTTGCCTAAGCTGACCAGGTTGGGGCAGAGATGGATCTGGAGGGACACGGAGGACGCTGACTTGCTTCAAGGCAGACCTGAAGGGCCCCTGAGGGCCCTTTCAGCCACTGCATCTAGGACTTGGCTCATGGTCACATTGTGATAGGTAACTGCACAAAATGTCCACTCTCAAGTCAGACATAACCGGGTTCAAATCCTGACTCCTCCATTCAGCTGCGTGACCTTGGGCATGTTACTCAATGTCTGTGAACCTGTTACCATGTGGAGATACTAATGGCACAACACCTACCTCACAAGTTGGTTGGAAGCTTTAGATTCAAATGGTCACGCATGAACAGCCTTTAGCTCAGCATCTGGCACGCCGCCCGTCTCAAACATCACCTATGATTACCGTGCTGGAGACACGCCAGAGGGGGCTGCTTCCCAGGGCCCCGGGAACAGGGACAGGCACATGTGAGGTGGAGGAGAGAGATGGAACAAGCAGCACAGCTGGCCATTTATATAGGCTGAAGGATGGGTATGTGAGGTTAATTATACCATTCTCTTTAATATTGAGTGCGTTTGGCCCTAGCCGGTGTGGCTCAGTGGATAGAGAATCAGCCTGGACCAAAGGGTCCCGGGTTTGAGTCTGGTCAAGGGCATGTACCTTGGTCACAGTCTCCTCCCCGGCGCGGGCCCTGGTCGGGGCTCCTGCAGGAGCAACCAGTTGATGTGCATCTCTCACATTGATGTTTCTCTCTGTCTTTCCCTCTCTCTTCCACTCTCCACCCCCCCCCCCCGCAAAATATCATAATGAAACATTATGTGTTTGAAAATGTTCATAATGAAAAAGTTAAAATCTTTCTCTAGAGGAAAACAACAGGTACAGGCAATTTTACTGGTGAGTTTTACAAACCTTTTAAGGAACAGCTCTAGCTGTTCGGTTCAGTGGATAGAGCGTCGGTCCTCCTCGGACTGAAGGGTCCTGGGTTGGATTCCAGTCAAGGGCAAGTACCTCAGTTGTAGGCTCGATCCCTGGTCCTGGTGGTTGGGGCGCGTGTGGGAGGCAACCAATCAATGTGTGTTCTCTCACATGGATGTTTCTCTCCCCCTCCCTTCCACTCTCTCTCTCTCTCTAAAATCAATGGAAAAATATCCTATCTTCGGGTGAGGATTTACAATAACAAAAATATCTTTTTTAAAAAATATATTTTATTGATTTTTTACAGAGAGGAAGGGAGAGGGATAGAGAGTTAGGAACATCAATGAGAGAGAAACATCTATCAGCTGCCTCCTGCACAGTCCCTACTGGGGATGTGCCTGCAACCAAGGTACATGCCCTTGACCAGAATCGAACCTGGGACCCTTCAGTCCACAGGCCGACGCTCTATCCACTGAGCCAAACCAGTTAGGGCCAAAAGTATCTTTTAAGGAACAAATTATTCCAAACTTACGTGGACTTTTCCAGAGAATAAAAGAGGGGGTATTTTTCTTCAAATCATTCTATGAGGCTGATACAACTTTGATACCAAAATTAGACAAGGCCAGGAAAAATAAAGGGAAACTACAGCCATTTCATTTACAAAGGGAGTTGCAGAATCCTATCCTAACTATCAGTGAATCAAATTCAACAATATGATCACACCATGAGCAAATGAAGTTTATTCCAAGAATATAGGACGGTTTACTATTAGGAAATCTATGTCATACTCTACATTAACAGATAAAGGAGAAAAATCTTATGACCTTCTCTACAGATGCAGGAAAAGCATTTGATGAAAATCAACACCGATTTATCATAACCATTCTTAGTAAACGAAAAGTAGAAAGGAGCTTCCTTAACTTGATAATGGATATGTACCCAAAATTATATATAACCTAAGAACAAGAACTGCAAAAATGTGTTCTGTTTCAGTAATCACATTATTGGTGGTAGAGCTGGTATTGTTATTCTGAGAGTGTTTTGTGTATAGTGTGAGGTAGATCAAATGAATAACTGATTAGTATCATTGATAATTTATATTCTTTGGTAAAGAGTACATAAAATTTATCATTTTAACCATTTTAAGTGTACAGTTCAGTGGCATTAAGTACATTCACATTGTTGAGCAACTATCATCACTAGCTCCAGAATCTTTTCATTATCCCCCAACATAAACTCGGTATCCATTACACACTAACTCCCCATTCTTGCTATCCTCGCCATTGGTAGCCATTACTCTACTTTCTGCCTCTATGAATTTGACTATGTACCTCATATAAGTAGAATATACAATGTCCACCCATTTGTACCTGGCTTACTGCACTTAGAATGTTTTCAAGGTTTGTCCTTGTGGTAGCATGTATCAGAATTTCATTCCTTTTTAAAAATATATATTTTTACTCATTTCAGAAAGGTAGGGAGAGGGAGAGAGGAAGAGATAGAAACATCAATGATGAGAGAGAATCATTGATTGGCTGCCTCCTGCATGCCCCTCACTGGGGATCAAGCCCACAATCCAGGTATGTGCCCTGACCAGGAATTGAACCCTGACCTCCCAGTTCATAGGTTGATGCTCAACCACAGAGCCATGCCAGCTGGACTCATTTCTTTTTAAAATATATATATTTTTTTATTGATTTCAGAAAGGAAGGGAGAGGGAGAGATAGAAACATCAATGATGAGAATTATTGATCAGCTGCCTCCTGCACACCCAACTGAGGATGGAGCCTGCAATCCTATTACTTGACCAGGAATTGAATCATGACCTCCTACTAGGTCAAGGCTCAACTACAAGTCACTCTGGCCAGGATGTTGAACATTTTTTCATGTGTTTATTTATTGCCCCTTTTATATCTTCTTTGGAGAAATGTCTACTCAAGTCCATTGCCTATTTTTTGAATTGGGTTATTTGGTTTTTGTTGTTAAGTTTCAGGAATTACTTATATATTCTGAATATTGATCCTTATCAGATCTGTGATTGTAAACATTTTCTACCATTCTGTGGGTTGCTTTCTTACTGTTTAAAGCTTCCTTGATACAAAAAATTTTGATAAAGTCAAATTTATTTTTTTAATCCTCAACTGAGGATATTTTTCCCATTGCTTTTCACAGAGAGTGGAAAGGAGGGAGGGAGGGGGAAAGAGATGGAGGAGAGAGAGAAACATTGATGGGAGAGAGACATATCAATTGGTTGCCTCCTGCAAGTGCCTGTCAGGAGCCAGGGATGGGGATCAGGAATGGAACCTGCAACCCAGGTATGTGCTTTTTTTTTTTTTTTTTTTTAGTTGTGTGATCTTTTTTTAAAAAAAATTAAATCTTTATTCACATTACAGTTGTTCCTCTTTTTCCCCCCCATAGCTCCCCTCCACCCGGTTCCCACTCCACCCTCTGCCCTTACCCCCCCACCCCACTGTCCTCATCCATAGGTGTACGATTTTTGTCCAGTCTCTTTCTGCACCCCCCACACTCCTTCCCCCCCCCCAGAATAGTCAGTGCACTCCCTTTCTATGCACCTGATTCTATTATATTCACCAGTTTATTCTGTTCACCAGATTATTTATTCACTTGGTTTTTATTTTTATTTTTTTACCATTTATGCAGATTTGCTTTATTCAGATCTATTCCTGTTCATTTTATCCATGAATCCTTACACGTTCAGTTCAATCACAAGAAGCAAACTGCTGGACAAGCGTCATGTTTCCCTCATGAAGACTGTTTTGTCTTGGAAGGTGTTCCTCTTCCTTCAGCTTCTAACGATGACGATACTCGCGCTCTCGGTCACGCTCTCGGTCTCGGTCCCGATCTCGGTCACGGTGTCTCTCTCTTTCTCTGCTTCTCTCTCTATAATAATCAACATGACGATCTCTACTGCGGGATTTATGGCGCCGACTCTTTTCTCGTGATCTACTATGGTCCCTCTCTCTTGATCGTTCACGTCTTGATCCAGAACCATAAGACTTGGATTCAATTCCATGAAGGCAATCTTGCAAAGAGCTAATAAGAACTTTGCAACGATCATCAGCAGATACTTTGGATTGTTTAATTAAAGAAATTGCAGTTACCAATGTCTCAATTGCACTCCCATAATCACACAAACCAGCACTGGCATCAGACACGGCTCTTGAAATAGCACTGCTTGAGATTGCCCTATTTCTATTCATGATTTCTTCAAACTCAGCTTCACTCAGTGGAGTTCTTGCCATATCCATTTCCCTTCCAGGAGGCCCATAGTCACCCCTATCATATGGCGGAGGTCAGCCATATGGATCTGTTGATGGTGGACCCCGACTATCTGAT